AAGTTCACATGTTCGAATCTCTATTCGTACAAAATTGATTTTGTGTTTTTCGATAGTTTTAGTTTAGAATACTATAATGGAATATTTTCCGCTTGTATTCTGACAGAATAAAGCTTATATCAACAAATATAAACGCAAAATATGTGTTATTTGCAGAGATCAACGAAAAGAAATTTGTTTTAAGCGACTAGATATTGTATTGGTTAACCGCATGGTATCAGGTTTGTCATGCTAAGCAGGATCAATATGGTGTTCCAAAATGGAAGTGGAATATCCATCACCATAAGTGTAGAGCCAGCTAACTTGTGGTTGTTATAATGATGTTGACTAGATGTTTCTTTCGTATACAGGGATCATGTTGTTGAGACGCACGATTGATTGATAACCATCTTGTTGATGTTTCACCTAACACCTTTATCCAAACCAAAGTACCAATGGTATATGATGGACTGGATCGATTTTTATCGTAACAGTGTCTGGTGTTGTTGTAGGAGTAGACGACATACTTTAAACGGTTCCAGTCTTCAGTATTTTGATGGCAATACTGAGAGAGTTGCTGACGAAAGGTGACGTTGAACCTTTCCACTTGGACGTTGTTTGGGGATGGTATGTCGTTGAGAAGACATGCCTAGTGCCAATCATTTTGGTAATCGCCTGCGTTAATTCATTGTTGAAATATGATCCTTTGTCGGTTATCCGCAATTCAGGAGCACCATGATTCAGAATGAATTCTCGAGGCTTGCTTGAAATGTTAATGTTGTTGTTCTACTTACTGTAATGTGGGATTAACAGTAAGTCGGCTAACGCACCAGTTGACAGCCCCCGATTTACATTGATAAATAAGTCCAAGTGTGTTTCGTAGTAGTTTATTTCGAAAATGAATTGTACAACAACTCTCTCGAAAATGGAAAAACGAGAGTTTATGTAGTGCGGATATGACGTAACTATTACGCAATAACAATGATGCAGTCTTACATGATGTCTGAGGACAGTGACTCATGTAACATGGTTGTTACAACGAATTCATTAAAACTGTAATCATGATGCCGATTCGAATCTAACAAACTTCGTTCGTCGAGAATAGCCAGAATCGCATTCGTAAAATCGACCCCCTCTACATTCACTTTCTGATATATGATAAATAATGACGATTGTAAATACTGTTTAATATTTCTCTTGTCCAACGCAAACGTGTTATTTCTTTCTATACAATGATACTTCTTATCATTACAATAAAACATGGCGCCGTATTCATCGAGGGCTTTCATATATACACATGATACTAGACGATATAACGAATAATATTGCACAGTTACGATATCCTCATCCAAAAAATTCTGGAAATTGATCATTTTCACATATGAAACATTTTCTTCCTGTGAATCTTGTTGTGTGTAGACAAAAAATACTTGTAGGCAATGTGTGATACATAAGGATGTAACTTTTGGTAATTCATTTCAATCGCACCTGATGCGTGGATCGTTATTGTTACAGGACAATAGCATCTGTTCTACTGTGTTGTACGCATTTTTCCATTATTCAATTATGTCATGAAATATCAACATGTTTGATTCATGTTCACAAGATTGACAAACTAGTCGAAATAATGATGCAACAGTTACATTCGTATCTAAAATCGGGTACACACATTCTCTGAGAAATTTTAATGCTGGCATGTTGATTATTCTGGGACAGTTTTGACTATTTCCAGATGTTAGTAGAGCATCATTTTCTGTTACTTCGTTCGTCACATATTGTAGTACGGTATCAATATTCTTTTCTGTGATTTTTTTCTTCCCTTTCATGGCTTCAAGTAACAACGTACATAAAGCTTTATGATGATCGGACAAACGAGATTCGTTTTGAGAAATCTTAACTTGTAAATGACGTAAATAGACAATTGATTGTAACAGGGCATTTGCGAACGTGTTTTGTTTTTTATTGTTTCCCCAGGCTGCTAATTGCTTTTCATTAGCATACGTCGATAATTCTGGTTTGAGGAAAATATTGTTCATTTTTTTAACATCTACTTCCTTTGATTTTTGGTAATGCCTACAAAAGTGGTAAGATACATCAACAGTTGATGAATGCATTATTAGGTAAATGGATCGCATACCCGTGTGTTTTTTGCTCCAACGTTCTTGCACAGTATTCCAGTTTTCTGACATGGCTTTAAACATTTGCAAACCAGTATTCTTTCGAATTCCAACTGTATATTTGCAAATATTGTCTACAACAAGGTCGAGTCTCTTGTGGATTTTTTTGTTTAACTCAATGTTTTTCACAAACCACATTCTTTTTTCACTTGAGCTGGTGGTACGTTGTATTTTATCGACAATATCACTTTCATTTATTAAGGAACCTTCACGATACCGTTGTAAATCTCCTAGAACATGAAACAGTTCATTCATTGGAGAGAATATAATCTTTACAGAAAATAAGTTGCTTTACCTAAGAGTATGTTTGACCATAAATGCACAGTTGCGACATAGAGTTTGTTGAATCGACAAATGAAACGTTCATACGAATTAAATTCTGGTTCGATTTCACTGTCATCTTTCCCTGCTGTTTTCTTTTCAGTATTGCCAGTAGTTCTTTATTGGCAGTCTGACAAACGGCTGTCATATCTATTTTAATCGATGATTCAAACTCATTTAATGCAACTTCTTCACGAGTATTTTCGACGACACTGACGATACAACTAGTAACCAGCCTAAGAATTTGAAGAAGGGTGTTTCCGAGAAAGAAATTCAGTGCAAAGTTGGCCGATCGTTATGGCTCCAAATCAATACGTGTGTAGAATTAACTCAGCAAATGCGAACCGAAGATGAAAAATTCAATGCTTTACTCGGACGACTACGTCGAGGCGGATGCACAGATGCAGATTATGAATTACTACAAACTCGTGTCGTTGGTGGCGGTGAAGTTGAATCATTAAACATAATGTTAGCTTTCCGCAACGAGTTACGAACGCTGCTAAATAACCTTGCTGTAGCTCCCGATCATTAGAAACTAACGAAGCCGTAGTTATATGCCCTAGTGTTGATACAATTAAATTCAATTAAATCGACAATCGCACCTTGCACAAATTCGTACAAGTGTTGCCCGACAACAAAACCGATGGTCTTCCTGGTATTTACCGTTAGTCAAAGGTACGAATTAAGAACCAACCTTTATTAAGAACCAAAAAATAATATTTCGATTAGTTTCGTCTAGGAATGCCGGTGTTATTGACTAATAACATAGCAACAGAGCTCGGTTTATCAAATGGATCATCTGGAACATTTCACTCACTTGTTTATACAGAACCAAGAGATGACGAAGACAAAACAATCAACGAAAAGCAATCATCATCATCATTAGACCCAGCACAACCGAAGCGGTTTCCTCCAAATACCGTCACTCTGAAATATCCATTATATGTTCTAATTGAAATGCAAAAATCGAAAATAAAATCAGATCTTGAACCATTACCTGAGAAATTAGTTCCTATACCAACCATTAAAAAAACATTTGAAGTCGATGTGAAAGACTTAGAAGGCCGGCAATAAAACAAAAATTAAAGTAACTAGGCAACAGCTTCCATTCGTTCCTACTTACTCTCTCACAACTCACAAAAGTCAGGGACAAACAATCCCAAAAATTGTGATTGATTTAGTACTGGCACCAGGAACGAGGCCAAATGTTGCCCTCACTTACGTTCCGTTATCAAGAGTAAAAGGACTGAGAGATTTGGTAATATTACGTCAATTTCTAAAGTCTGTATTACAGATATAACCAAATCAAGAACAAACAAAAGAATTACAGAGACTCGATGAAGTAAACAAATTGACTAAACAACGCATGTTCTTTTCTATTAGTCCACATAGTGATTAATCACATTCTTGTTTTTGTTCTTCTTTCATTAGTCATCTTTATTGTTGTCTATAAATCTCACGTTGTCGGCCTCGTGTTTTCAAAAAGACGAAAAACAAGAGATCTTTATCTTCCTTTTATCTTTTGTGTGTGATCTATTATTTAAGCTGGTTCAATTCTTCTTGTTTTTGTCTTCAATAAAAACTTATACACGTCCAACTCGTTGATCTCACTATTTTATATACTTCTATGCATTTTTCTCATGGTAAGTCACATTTATTCGTGGTTTCGGTGTTCCTCACTCTCCTCCTAGCAGACAAGAGTAACTTTTAGATAATTTCCTCCGAGAGTGAGCTAACAGACTTTACTTCTATTCCATACTTACCTTTGAAACATGTACTCACTCTCATAAACATTCCTTACCGCTGAAAAGCTATAGCAACTGTTTCTGTAAACTAAGGTGGAAAATATGGATGCTCTCATCGTAAAAAATATCGCTCAATTCTGTAGTAACAACATCGAGTTACAACAGACTGAATAATATTCTCAACACTACATTCATTCGATTTACAGTCAATGGACTTAGTGAATCATTGCGATTCACGTTATTTATTTTATACCTAATTAAAAATTATTCGGAAAATCGAGATCATTTGTGTATTGTTTTGCGAAAATTAGCAAACGGGATCAACTGTACTTAATTTCCGGGATCAAAAATGTATTTATTCAAATGAAAAAATAGTCTGTCTGTCATATGCAATATATTATTTTCTAACGTGCTATATATCTGTACACCATAATAGGTATAGAGTTTCATAAAAGAAAATAAACGCAGTTTCTGTGAACCAAGAACTGTTTTTCTGCATGTGAAAGATAAAGAAGCAAAATTGCTCTGTATTCGAGAGACGAGGGTACATAAAGATACAACGAAAACCATCAAAAAATGATAGGAAGCACAGAGAAACAAAAATACATCATCATACAAAATCAAAATTTGAGGCCTCACAAGACCGATCGAGGTCTTGTTATTGCATGCTGCTTTTGTTCACTTTACTTTTGCCAATATGGTCATCTAGTTATGCCTTTGTTAAGGAAAGACTGCTCGTTAATGTGAAGTTAAGATAAAGCTTTTTAACTCTAGTCATAAACTTTGAATTGAGTTATAACTATTTTAGCTTTTTGTTCTCGTAACTGCTAATTAATTTAAAAATATTAAGGTTCTGGAAATTCAAAAGTCGAGCAAAATTTATTTTTGCGATATGTACTCATGGTTCGACGCAATTCGTCGAGCTGAATCCGAAAATGTGGTTTTTAAGGCTGCAAATCGAATTTTTACGGTCGAAAATTTGAAAAAAATCAAATATTTAAAAATCTAAAAAACGTCCTATTTGTTAAAAATGAGCCTAAATATCTCATGTACTGCTTTAGGTAATTTTGAAATATTTTTATTCTTATTCTGCGTGAAAAACTGTATCTAAAAACTATGCTTTGATGTTACTCAAATATCATATGACCCTGAAAATTGTTGGTCTTTCGCTAATAATGAAGATATATATTTGATACAGCTAGTTTGTCTTATCATCTCAATTAAAGATATAAATTTCAAAAATGATTTCAAGCAAATACAGTTGTAGAAAAGACGTCAAATTAGGATTAAACACTGTTTCATTTAGACAGTGCCGCTTATCTTCACTGATGAGTGAAAACCTAATAAAAGTCTCAATATTTATGTATTAATTGATTGAATAGTACCAGCAATATTTAATTAAACCTCCATCCTCCAGAATAGAAGACCATGGTGTTTTATTACGGTTTAGCACATCGCACTTTTTTTGGTGAAAAACTGTCCGGCGTTTTTCAAAATTTTTCGCTCCAGATTGGCCCTTTAATCTGGCTGACCTACTATTATCGAGAGCGGGGGGTTACTATAACATTCTAGTGATTCACATTCTCTTCGTGTAAAAGCAACTAGAAAGGGAAAAATATTGATGTCGAATCTTATCACTCTCGGATAAATCTTGATTCACTCGATAAGAGGTATGACCACATAAAATTAGAAGTTCCTAGCTATCATGTTTCTAGAGTTACAGAGGTATCTCTACTTTTGCACATATATGTGGTTCCCGTCCTCAAAGGGTTAATTAATAGTTTATATCAACATTCATCCGAGAGTGATAAGATTCGACATCAATATTTTTCCGTTCTAGTTACTTTTGCACGAAGAGAAAACTAGAATGTGAGTTACTTGAAGTAACTCACATTCTAGTTTTCTCTTCGTGCAAAAGTTTGTTACGTTGTTACTAGTAACAAGTAACTTACTTGTTACTAGTAACAACGTAACAAACTAGCATCTGCTGTTACTAATTACTAGTAACAAGTAACAAAATTGTTACTTGTTACTAGTAACAGTAATGCTAAACAGCCAGTCGTATTTCTCTTCCTACTTTTAGTTCTATTGTGAAGTCGCGTGCGCAGTGCTCACCATCTTTATTTGCTAACAATTCAGTTGTTGTAGCTTCTTCTGTTGGCTCAGTTCAATGCAGTTCTCAACCTGCTGCTTCTTCAAAGGTAATT